CGGCTTTTTTTAATCATGCTGATGGGGCGTATGGTCTGGGGCCGGCGGTTACGACACGTGGTTGGGGGTTGGGGATGATTTCTTTCTGCTCCTTCACACACAGACAATATGCAGGAGTGCGACAGTGCGACGCATCGTCGCACTGCACTCATGAACCCATGGGGGAGATGGTAGGCGATGGCAAATGGCGCCAAATGATTCAAGTAGACCGCGAGCAGAACAGCCGAGCGAACGGGCCCTAGATCCCAGCTCTACGACTTCGATACCACGCAGTGCATTCATGAGGACTTGCTCCTGGCTTATCCGAAACACCACCCTTCTTCATGGAGACAGGACGCATGCCATGCCACGGAAAGCAACTGCAGGGCTTTACTCAGAGGCGAGAGGGCACGTCCTTCGCCGGAGCCGCCTGTTCATCTTGTTCCTCAGCGGCTTTGGCTGCATTGTGTTGCACTGAAGTCCCCGGCTACACACGGCCGCAAAAGCGAGCATGGACATAATGCGCAAGGCCGAGGGCCTGGAGGACCAGCACGTAGGATTGCTGCGGTGCCGGAGCATCCTGGCGGTGTGCACCATGTGCTGCGTTCTGAGTTCTGACCCCGGCCGACGTCTGAAACCTATGATGAAACCCTCAAAGCCTCTTGAACCTGCTGGCTGCTGGCTGCTAGCTGTGTCATTCTTCCAAGTGGCCTCGCGCCTCACAAGCCTGCTGGGACCACACCGTAAATCGACTCCGAAGACAGGTGCAAGTGACTCGCCTGCTCCGTCGGGTGAGCAGCCTCTGGCTCCTAGCACTTCTTCGTTCGACTCATTCTGCAACGGATCCGGGGTCAGATGGGGTCAGATCAGTCTTACCAGCCATAGCCGTTGCAAGCACCGGCGGCGCCTTTGATGCCAGCCCTGGCGCATCCTGAAAGCAAGCGAACAGGCAGGAGTCAAGCTTCCTGTGAGCTCCCAATAAAACGGAAAGGCAAGCACAATTGGCGAAACCAAGCAGCGCAGAGAGGGCAGAGAGGCAAAGGCAAACGGAATGCTCTGAGTCCGTGGAAAGATTGGGCAGCTCGGCCTGGAAGTGATTGCGACGGTCCTGGCCCATCGCCTTTGCCGCCAGGAGAGTTGGAAGCGACCTGAGCAGGCAAAGCCAGCTTGGCAACAGATCGCCTCTCAACTTCGGATCCGTTC